TTCATCCATCCATCCATCCATCCATCCATCCATCCATCCATCCATCCATCCATCCATCCATCCATCCATCCATCCATCCATCCATCCATCCATCCATCTTCTTCTGCTTATCCAGGCTTGGGTTGCGGGGGTAGCAGCCTAAGTAGGGACTAGGCCCAGACTTCCCTCTCCTCAGCCACTTGGGCCAGCTCCTCCGGGGGGATCTCGAGGGGTTCCCAGGTCAGCCGAGAAACATAGTCCCTCGAGCTTGTCCTGGGTCTTCCTCTGGATCTCCTCCTGGTGGGACGTGCCCAGAACACCTCACCAGGGAGGCGTCCAGGAGGCGTCCTAACCAGATGCCCGAGCCGCCACAACTGTCTCCTCCTGACAGGGAGAAGCAGCGGCTCTACTCTGAGTCCCTCCTGGTTGACCAAGCTGCTCACCCTAGCTCACCACTTTCTGTGCTATAATTTTCTCAAATATATCTGACAACCCCTCAACTGAAAACACAGAAATGATATAAAGACTACAGAAAAGTTGTTAAAACCTCTCTCTTCCTTCAGAATGACGTTGGTCTTGATCATGCAGGCTAAAACTTCAGCGCTTCATTAGAGAACTTTATACTGTGTATTTTTACTAAGGTCGTTCATAGTATACTGTGTACATTTATTATGGTCATGTAGACGGTGTACTTTGTACTTTTACTAAGGTCATTTACACAGTACACTGTGTAAATGACCATTTAATTGATGGTCAGTTCATTTAATATCTGTCAATTTATTTCAAGAGCATTTTTCCCCTCAGAATGACAACGTCCCTCTACCAGAGACGTCTCCTTCTCCCGTGGACACTGAACAAGCAGAACAACTTAAAAATGAAGGTAACGTTCAGAAACCGTTTATAGCATTTCTGTTTGCAGGACTGTTTGTGTTTCCTCTGGATGTATAGGAACATAAATAGAAAAAGCTTTTTTTTTTAACCAATGTCTTGCATTTGTTTGGGTGAGAGAAGCACTTACAGAAATTATGTTCAAAGTTGTAGTTTCCCACAAAGGGAAGAAGCTTGACTTTAGCTAAGAACGTGGACGCAGCTCTTTCTTTTGTTCTACAGACACTGGGTAGTCCTTAAAGTGACACTCGCATCGCTAATTCCTGCAGTACACCTCACAAAATCTCTCAAGGAACATGATCACGAGCCTTTTCCAAAACTACAAAACACATGTGTGATGATTAATTCCCATGATCTCCTTTTAACTCTGCAAATGTGAAGATTTAGTCCATTGTTCCATGACCTAGATATAATCAGACGGATGGGGACTGCCTCATTTTACAGATGTATCTAATGCTCCTACACCACAGCTGAAAATCTCCTCTGTTGAGTAACACCTTGTTTCTTGACATCAGCTAACCAATATTTATTCAAGTGTCTTATGTTCTAACAAGCTTTTGAGTGCCTCTGCGTTTACATGTATGTAATTAAACACAAGTGTAAAGTTGGAAATGTCTCAGCGGTGCTCTTCTGGCCTGTGCCCCCCCATTTCAGGTAGTTCAATTTCAACTGCAGCTTCACACACACTTTTTTTGGTGCATATGTGACAAACACATTTTTATGCCCTACTATTTTATTTTATTCAGATCAATTCAATGTACTTATAAAGCGCCAAGTCACAACGGAAGTCGTCTCAGGGTACTGAACAGAAATATTCACATACATACATTCACACAAAGTAAACATTTTCTATCAAAGGAAGCCAGCAGATTGTTTCTCTTCATTTTGTCGCAGTCTCCCATCTTGACCAAGCACAAAGACAACAGTAGAAAGGAAAAACTCCCTTTTAACAAGAAGAAACCTCCAACAGAACCAGGCTCAGGATCTGAGCAGCCATCTGCTTTGACCAGCTGGGTTTGAGAGGACAGGAAGGAGAAACATAAACAGAATGACAGGTCCAGGTGAACTTTCTATTGGAAGAAAGACACACACACACACACACAAAAAAACCCCACATCAAAGTTAATGCTCAATAATCCAGGTAAAAAATTCGATTTTTTTACCTGGATTATTGAGCATGAATGTTGATGTTTTGAACCACTTTGGCTATGGCTGCCTCAGAGGAGTCGATGGGGGAGAGGGTGGACTCAAGAAACCATCTTATCACCAACAAACTGGTTGGCCCATTATGTGAGTAAGCCACTAAAGTTTCAACAAAAAATGAAACCGTCCAGAGGACCTGATTTAACTTTGTTGGACAAAAAGCATGTTATGGATATAAATAATTACAAATACAGACAGATAGAGTAGAGTACGTAAAGAAAGCAGCAGAGAGATGAAATATGGTCAGTTTGTCCTCTAGTAGTCTATGCCTATAGAATCAGAATAAGCTTTATTATTATTGTACTGAGATACGAGAATATGTCCGTACAGTCGTCCGATAGATGGGTGGAGTGCACGTAGCTGCTGCTATAAGCACGGGCTTCTTATCCTTTTCAGAATACTTTTTTTAGATAGAAAAAAGGACAAAGTCATGAGGAGAGAGGATAGAGGCATTACAAAAATAGATTTCTTCACACCTTTTCCTAACGGGACATGATTTAAGACATCAAAAAATTCTGCCAACAAGCACATTTATGAACATGTTACATATGCATTTGGCTAGGAGGTGGTCCATGAAGCACTAGCAGATAGTCCATATGTCCTGATAAGATGATGGTCAGCTGGCACAGTTCTGATAAGTTGTTGTTGCAATAGACAAAGCTTTTCCTTAGTTTACACATTTCCCAGGAGAAACTGATGTTGGCCTGTTTCGAGCCCAACCATGGAGTCCGATTCAGATAAGCCACAATTGTTGATTTTTACAGGCGGACTATTTTTTCTTGTCAGCCTTGAGTCTGTACTGATACTTCCAAGATCTGAAATGACCAGATTAGGCTGCATTCTACTGGTCTGTGCTTACGAGCCTCTTCAAGGTTGTTTTATGCTGATGAGTCCCAAAGCTGCAGGTGGCCTCCTGCGATTCAAATCACTTCTGTCTTATGGTTTAGCTCGTTAATCAGCTGATTTTGAGTCCTCAAAGCATGAACCAAACCTTCACATAGGCAGCAGTCTGACCAGGCCAGATTAGTGCAGCTGTCTTCTTTGTCTGTTGATAAACCAGGATCCAGGCTATTCAAAAACAGGTAACCTGTTATCATAAATCCAATTATATGCAATTTCGGCGTCCTCGATCAACAGCAGAGGTAGACACATCACATCCAGAGATATATCCAGCTGCATGCGTGTTGTCCGAGCAGATGAGGGTTCTCCAGGACCCTGTCGCTTTGTTGAAAAGATTTTGTCATTGCGTCAAAAGTCCATTTGGTCAGATCGAAAACAGTAGTTTTCAGATGTGTAAAAATAGGAGCTGCTCCGATACACAGACAGAGCAAAAAAAAAAAAAAAAAAAAGGCAGGAGGAGAACAGGGAGAGGGAAGAGAAAGTGTGCACCTCGTTCCAGGACCTTTTAAGAAAAAAAAAAATAGAAGTATAACAAAGGGATAAACTCAGGATACTCAAGCTGAACCCAACAATAGGATTTATCAACAATGTAGAGGGATAATGGGGCTGGATATATATTGTAAATTACCAGTTATGAGTTAAGCTCATAAGATATGCATTTATTATGCAAATAACCTCGTTGTGTGTGTGTGGGCACCACCTCTTTTTAGAGGAAAAATCAGTCTCTATCCCCAAATTAAATGTAAACTGAAACGTGAATTATTTTCTCGTGTTTAAAGGGCATCAAATCAGTTAATACACACAGATATGCCAAAATAATCACAAATTTTGTTGATTTTATGTATTTTACTACAAAAATAATAATCTGTGATATATCTGATGAAGATTATGAATGACAAAAGTTAACTGAATAACAAAATAGCTTTGCATCAAAGGTCTAGTTGGTTATTCAAATCAATGAAACTTAAAAAGGCAGATTTTGGACTGGTTCTGTTTGTGGAGTAGTTAAAATTGTCTAAAGTGAGCTGTAATTTGTCTGAGATTATTGTGATGTATGATCACCAGAAAGTGCCTTGAAGAGTCTCTCTCACCAGAACGAGATGTCACAATGTTCCACAGCTGCTTAAAATGATACCAGCAAGGCCTGAGATGCTCCGGTGACTAAAAGGCTGATTTTTTCCCTCAAAAGTCACCTATCATCGGTTGGAGGGACGAAGGTCAGGCCACTGGCTCTGAAGTCAGCTGGGATTTACCACTCTGCGGTGTAATGGTTCTGGCTTGGTCAGGTTCTGTTCTGCTTCGTTTCTTCTGTATCTTTTTTCCGTCTCTGTGCAGAAAGGATGCTTCTCTTCCATGCAGAAACTTGGGTTTCTTCAGTTCTGAGCTCCAGAAGCGTGTAGCAGAAGTTGAGAAGTAGAAGTGATTTTAGAAGAAGTGAAACTTAACTTAACTGTATGTGTCTTTCAGATTGACTTTAGTCCACCTCTCGGAAGAGGGATGGTTCTAACTCCTGTCAGGTTTTTATAAAATCTAAAGTCCATTTTCTCTGTCTGCCTTTAAAAGTTACTCTTTCAAAATAGACAAATAAGACAAATGATTATCTTAAAGAGAGAATACTTAAAACACACATTTTCATAAATAAACATTCAGGTCTGAAAATAAAACAGAAAATTACATTTTGGGGTTAATAGCAGGCAATGTTTCTCCAAAAAGTGTCACTGTTCATTCCCCTGAAAAGTAAATGTCATTAAACAAAGGGTTCTTTAAAATGTGTTATCTTCATGGGAACCCATCCTGGGAGTAATACTCCTTTTTGATAAAAGTTAAAGTTCAGCAGATGTTTCAACTTCGAGGTCAGTTGAACCAAAACTCATTAAACGATCTGACCGTTTCATGGGAAATGAGTTCATATTGGCAGTGAAGTTAACACAGTGACAGTTTTTTTATTACACTTTCATTAGTGTCAACTAAGAAGTTAGTGAGCTGAGTTGAACCCCTGTAAGGCTTTACAAGGTTTGTTCCCAAGGGAATAGATGCATCTTAGTTTAAACAGTTTCAAACACAAAACACATGAATGATGTTTGTTTGAGATGAGGCGAACTGTTTTCTGAGATGAGATGTTCTTTTCTGAGGTGGTGAACTGTTTCTGAGGTGGTGTTCCCCTACATATTCTCCCACTTTTCGATTTTCAACCCCCATGGTTGTGAATCGAAAACTCGTCGTCCACACCTCAGGAAGGTTCCAAGAATGTTGTAGTAGGTTCCCAAAAGTCAAAGTCTATAATTCCATGGAAGGAAAACAAAATTAAAGTTATCCCATATGAAGTCAGAAGGAATAATTCCAGGTAGGGAAAGGATCAATGTTCTAGGTAATTCCCAGGTGTTCAAAGGGTTAATTCCACAACGTGAAACAGGAAAGGCAAAGGTATTCCATTTGAGTTCAAAGCAATAATTCCACAGAAAGGGAAAGGAAACTCAAGGGTATTCCATGTGAAGGCCAAGGGGTCCTTGGAAGGCATGGTGATGTCACTCTCTGGAACGATGGGTTGGATCGTCAGGAGATGCAGTGATGTCATCTGTATGAAGGATTGGACCACTTGGATGATGCAGTGATGTCATCTGGAGGAAGGATGGGACCCTCTCCACAGGATGTTGGCGTAGGATGGTACCCATCTGGTGATTTCTGGTGACCATCAAAGTGTCTTAAGTGCTTTGTTCATGTAGTGGAATCCTAAAGATAAATCTGTATGCATGCAGATCTAATGTCAACTTTAAATGACAAAATAAATTGTTCAAAGTGTTTTTGAATGAGACTAAAATAATCTAATGCCTCTACTTTTGTATACGGGTACGTTGACAAAAAGGTGTGGCTAATGATTAAATGTTAAAGAAAAATAAAGGATGCCCTAAGAAATTTGGTGTAAAAATAAGTAAACAAAAATTTAGGAAGCTTAGTTCATTTTGTTTAACAATTTTTGTTTACTAAAATGGATCACTCAGGTGGTGAGTGTTGAATGAATTTTAAAACAAACTTTACACGTTGATCAGCTGAGTGTGAGCATAAACAAGAACGATCCCGACGACGACCAGAAGTAGCTTTCCCCCACTTGTGGGTTGTTATCATTTCGATCGTTAATTGTTTTGCTTTTTTAGCTTGATCTAGTGGTCAAAGAAATTTTAATTTTGTTTTACAGTGTATTATTAGGTTTAAGGTGTTTTACCATACCTATTTCTTTTGAAAGTAAAATTTAATTTAAAGATTTCTAATCTTATGTTTTTGAATTTTTTTCCATTTTAAGAAGAGTAAGGTTTATTTGAACTTTGTAGTTTAATTAGTCTAATTTTGGTTTTAGTTAGGTTTTTAGTTTAAAACTCTTCTGAGGTGGTGTTCCCCTACAACAAGATGTTTAATCCCAAATATCCCAAAATCTAAAAAAAATCCCTGAAATCCCAAATACTTAATCTTAATCTTGAAACTGGACAATGTGTCAGCCTCACAGACAGAAACTGGAAGTTGGTTCCACAAGAGAGGAGCCTGATAACTGAAAGATCTGCCTCCCATTCTGCTTTTGGAAACTCTAGGAACCACAAGTGGGCGGCTGTGGCTGAGTGGTTAGAGCAGTCGTCCTCCAATGCAAGAGTTGGGGGTTCGAACCCCACAGCAGTCACATGCCGAAGTGTCCCTGGGCAAGACACTGAACCCCTCATTGCCTCCGATGTGTGTCCCATCAGTGTATGAATGTGATAAATCACTGATTAGTCTCTTTTGAATGATTTGTTCAATTAGCTTTGTAGAGCTCTAGAGTGCTGTATGAATGGGTAAATGAGGCACAGATTGTAGTGTAAAGCGCTTTGAGTATCTTAATAAGATAGAAAGGTGCTATATAAGTACAGTCCATTTACCATTTACTATTTACAAGTAAACCTGCAGCCTGAGAGCGAAGTGCTCTGTTAGGAAAACAAGGAACAATAAGATCTGCAATATAAGATGGAGCTAGGTTGTTGAGAGCTTTGTAGGTTAGAAGTAAGATTTTGAATTCTATTCTGGATTTGACAGGGAGCCAATGGAGAGAAGCTAAAACTGGAGAAAGATGATCTCTCCTACTAACTCCGGTTAAAACTCTGGCAGCAGCATTTTGGATCAACTGAAGACGTTTTAAAGACGTATTTGGACACCCAGATAATAAACCATTGCAATAGTCCAGTCTAGACATGACAAATGCATGGACCAATTTTTCTGCATCATTTTTAGATCAGATGTTTCTAATTTTAGTGATATTACGCAGGTGGAAGAAGGCAGTTCTAGTAACGTTTTTAATGTGGGGGATAAAAGACATGTCCTGATCAAAAATAACACCAAGATTTTTGACATTAGAGCTGGAGGACAGATTAATGCATCTAAGGGAGAAAGACTGAAAAAATCATTCTTAAAGTGCTCAGATCCAAAACCCAAAACTTCAGTCTTGTTTGAGTTTAAATGCAGAAAATTAAGGGTCATCAAGGTTTTTGTCTTTAGAAGCAGCTCTGACTCACATTTCATTAAATTAAAAAAATTCTTGCATCTAGACAACATTTTTGATTGTACAGAGAAATGAAACAAGACATGCAAGACACAATTGCATCGTTGTTCTTATTTAAATGGAGGCCAGGGAAGATGTCTCATGTGTGCCTAGTTTCTTGTTCGTCTGGATGTATGTAGTAAAAGTGCTCTGAAAGATGAAGAAAGAAATATTAAACTGATTTTGCTTGTGTTTTATTAAACCTGTCCTGGGATTTAAACTGTGCAAACAACCAGACTTTTATTTTTCAGGGAACAACCACATGAAGGAGGAGAACTACAGATGTGCAGTCGAGTGTTACACAAAGGCCATTGATCTGGACCTCAGAAACGCTGTGTATTACTGCAACAGGTGTTTAGAACGTGACCTTATTCAGCCTTAATTTTATTTTTCCGTTGATACTTGCACATCTTTACACTGCCACAGAAAGTAAAGGAAGAGCTGAGCTGGTGTTTTGGTGGATAATGTCATATAAATATACACTGGCAGGTCAACTTTAATGTCAAGTTTTGATTAAACTTGTTGCAGAGCTGCAGCTCACAGCAAACTGGGGAATTATACTGAGGCGACTAGTGACTGTGAACGAGCCATTAAGATCGACTCAACGTACAGTAAAGCGTATGGGAGGATGGGGTGAATTTCATCTACCTTTACACACATTTATTCAACTTTTGCTAGAAGATTCGTCTGAATATATTTGTTTTTGTGGTTCCAGTTTAGCTTTGACAGCTATGAACAAGTATCCCGAAGCCATTTCCTACTTTAAGAAGGCTCTGGTGCTGGATCCTGAGAATGACACGTACAAATCCAACCTGAAGATTGCAGAGCAGAAACACAAAGAAGCGTCCAGCCCTGTGAGTTCAAACGGGATTCATTTTGAATCTCTTCGTTCATGTCATTTCATGAACTTTTTGCTCACATACTTTTCCAGCCAGAAGGTTCTATTCTTGTTTATACATCCCACAGATGGCAGCTGGACTTGGATTTGACATGGCGAGTTTAATCAACAACCCTGCCTTCATCAGCATGGTAGGTGTCCCATCATCATCCCACGATGAACTATCAACCATCAAAATGACCCGACTTGTCAAACACTGCACTTGGGAGCATCAGGGTCAACAAGAACACTTCTGCTAACACGCAAGAGTTGCACTGCAGCCGCGACGAGACGTGAATCTGATGGTTGTGTTCCTGCACTCATAGCTCACAGCAAAGAATTATGGGTCATGTTTCCTCATAACACTGCCACCGTGATCAGTGATAAATTGTGCTTTTATGTTGTTTCAGGGAGAGAGTAGATTTCATCTTGATTTCTGTTTACAGGCTGCAAGCGTGATGCAGAACCAACAGGTCCAACAGCTGTGAGTGGAATCTGAATCACAAAACAATTGGAACAGCGAAAAAACTGTAAACATAGTAAACATATCAAATGTTGAAAGTGAGAGACATTGTACAACCTTTAAAAAGTTATTTCTGAATTTGATGGCAGCAACACGTCTTAAACAAAGTTAGGACGAAGCTATAAAAGGCTGTGAAAGTAACCGCTGGAGCAATTTGCAATTAAGTTCATTAGCAAAAAGAGGACTAGGTATAAAAAGAGCATTTTGGGGAGGCTGGATGTCTCGTAGGTAAAGATGGGCAAAGGTTCACCAGTCAGAGAAAAGTGCATGAGAAAATCCAACAATGTTCAGTCAGGTCATCTGGACGGTTTCTTTTTTTGTTGAGAGATGTTTCGTCCTTCATCCAAAGGACTTCATCAGTCCGAGGAGCCACAACAAACTGAGTCCCACAAACACACTCCCATAGTGGACCAGCCAGTTTTTTGGTGATAAGATGGTTTCTGGGGCCCACCCTCTCCCTCTTTGACTCCTCTGAGGCAGCCATAGCCAAAGAGGTTCAAAGCATCACAGTTCAACTTTGACATCAGAGGAGTTGATGGGGGAGAGGGTGGGCCACAGAAACCATCTTATCACCAGCAAACTAGTTGGTCCACTATGCGAGTGTGCTGCTTGTGGGACTCAGTTTGTTATTGGCTCCTCGGACTGATGAAGTCCTTTGGATGACGGGCGAAATATCTCAACAAAAAGAGAAACCGTCCAGATGACCTGACTGAACTTTGTTGGATTTGTACCTGGATATTTGAGCATGAACTTTGATGCATTTGAAAATATTCCCATCCTCCCAGAAAAGATCCAGGACTGTTGAATGATTGGAATCCTCTGTCAGACAAGAATGAGACATTTCCCTTCATAAACTCCATTAACTGGTCTCCTCAGTTCCCAGTTGTTTACAAACTGTTGTTAAAGAAGACGAGACATTTCACAGTGTTAAGTGCGATTCTGTCCAAATGTTTGTTTGGATGTATTGCTGCCATAAAATTAAACATTTAATATGTTGGCTATGTTCCATTGTGACTACACTACAAGTTTATGAGTTTTGCACATTATTGCATTTTGTTTTATTTCCATCTTTCAACACATCCTAACTTTTTGGGACTTGAGGTTGTAGTTTTAGGAGGATTTCTGTGATCACTGTGTTTATGTATGCTCAGGATGTCAGGAATGATGTCAAACGCAGTCGGAGGTCCTGCAGCAGGAGTAGGAGGAATGTCCGACATTTCCAGCTTAATTGAAGCGTAAGTGATCGTGGCTCAGAAAAACAAAACAATGTTTAGTCTACACGCTTCTTTATTTCATAAAGTTTTTCTTATTTATAGATACTTGTTTTATACGTCACTTGGCGTAAAGTTTTTTTCCAAAATATGCTGTTAATATTGATCCACTCATCTAACTCCTAGCAAAAATGCAAATAAGCAATAACTCTTCCAATAATCTATAAAGAACATTATTTTAACACTGACTCGAAACAGAGCTGTATTTTCTCTTGTAACATTTTATCTCACTTGTCACCAGTTCTGTCCTCCCTTCACTGGCTCTTTGTGCGTGTCGGAATTGATTTTAAAATTCTCCTGTTGACCTTTAAGTGCATTAATGGCACTCTCATACCCCTCTGACCTACTTCAACCATAAGTTCCTTCTCGGGTGCTGAGATCATCTGACCAGCTGCTTTTGGTTGAAGTTCAGAGGAGATCGGGTCGTGGGCCCTAAACTTTGGAACATGCCCATCAACATTAGACAGGCCACTTCACGCCCTGCTTTTAAGGCCCTGTTTACACGAAAACGATTCCTGGTGAAAATGGAAGTGTTTCCTTGTGTTTGTACTGTTCATTAACACAACAATAGCAAATGTTTTCTCTGACAACGGCACAATTTGAGAACAGGTTCCAGAGTGCAATGGTTCAGAAACTTTCCGGTGTCCGCTGTCGTGTAAACAGAAAAAAATACATATTTTCTGTCGGGGAATCCTTGTTTCATGCGCAGTATGACATAAAACATAACAGCTTCATACAATCCACAGAAGAAACTATCGACAATGGCGGATACCAGAGTATTGTTTGTGCTTCTGACTCTGATAAATCTAACTACGGCTCTCCAACACAGTGCTCATTTTCTACCTCTTTACTTAAATCATCGAATGACAGACATCATACAGCTCCACTTTGTTACTTAATGGATGTATGCAAAGAAGAAACACGGCTAGGAGGCACTACTGGATGCCAAAGAACATAGCACCAACTAGTGGCGTGGCGAGGGAATTACACCTTTTCCTCGTCTACGTTGCTGTGTAAACAGATTGTAATTGGAATGTTTCCATGTAAATGTGTTAATAGAGATGGAGGAAAAAAATCTGTTTTCACTGGATCGTTGTTGTGTAAACAGGGCTTAAATCTCTAAACAATATACCCGTTTTCTCTGGCTTTTAACACAGTGTGACTTGATTTAGTATTTTATTGTTCTGCGTTTTTATCTTTTTCTTTTGATGCTTGTAATTAATTTTCAGTTTAAAAAAAATCATTAAATTGCTCCCGTTGATTTTTATTGTAACAGCTGCTGTTTTAAATGGGCTTTATAAATAAAGTTGACTTGACTTGCAGCAAAAACACAGTTTATAAAGCTGATGGGCTTGTTGTAGTGAATTTGACAAAGAGGCTGAAACGGTGTTTATTACAGACAAAACCAGACTATGGTACTGGTTTATTACAACCTAATGATAAACTATGACTAAAAGAGCTAGGCCTTCATCCATCTTTACCTGCTTCTTCCTTTTTGGGTTGTGAGGTCACTCACTGGTGCCCATATCCATACATCACTGTGTGAGAGACATTGGACACCTGGACAGGTCTCCAGTCCATCACAGGGACACGTAGAGACGAACAAGACAAACAACAATTCACTCTTTCACTCACACCTAGAGACAATTTAGAGAGAGAAAACTGGATTACCCAGTTATTATATTTGATGTAAACCTAAATATAAATTTTAAACTTACATTTTTAGAGCAACTACAATTTCAATGTGAATTTTTAAATTTACATGACAAATCTTCACGTGGTCAAAAATGTCTGCAGGGGATTCCCGAAGGCTCTGTGCAATGTGTTTTGGTCACACCGGCTCAACATTAGTCGTACCTCATTGTGAATTGTAAATTTTCCTGTATTAAACAAACTCCTCCTGCAGAGTCTCTGACTGAGCTAAGGCCTTCTCTCTTGACAGGGAAGTCCTACACAACGAGAGCTCCTTCAAACATGTTTTTGACTGGAGACCATTTAAAAACAGGTTTTTGCTCATCTGCAAAGTAGTTGACAGGAAATAAGAGAAAAAAAAATTTAAATCAAGAAAAACTACATTGAAAATATATATTTTATTTAAAATATATAAAAAAATACAAATTCAAATGTAACATTTCATATGTGCTGAATTCTTAGGCCTTCTCTGAAGGCATAGAAGACCCTGGGGGTTCCCCACTGTTATAACCTCACTTCCAGTGAATTAAGGCCTAGCATTCCTTGACTGATTACTTTTCATGATATTCAAGTTGGTCAAATCTTAAAATCACTGTTATGCACAACATCCTGCCATATAGTGAGCTCTTGGATGATATGTTGTGAATGACTCTCAGCTGCTGCCACACCAGCTGTTAGCTGTAAAACCCAACAAGTTCTAGCCCTTTTTGTATTTGTTAATGCTGATGAGCTGTAGCAGCCATCTTGAAATAAATAGAATTGTTGTAAATGTGTAAACACTAATAAATGATAATAAATATTAGTAGTCTAGGGCAGTGGTGGTGCAGAGGTTTAAGAAGGTGGGCCTGTGATGGGAAGATTGCTGGTTCAACTCTCGGTACGGACAACATCAAAATGTGGGTGGGAAAGGTGAAGCACCCACACCTGCATCCACCCTCATTCGCCCCACTCTGGGCCCTTGAGCAAGGCCTTTAACCCCCACCACCTGCTCATCCGGGCACCCTAGATAGCAGCTCTCTGCTCCACACAGAGGACTATCGTGTCGTAAGATGTAAAACTCTGGCAGGAAAGTTGGTGGGTGATTTGCATTTAAGTCAGTGGTTCTTAATATAGGGTCCGCAAACTCGTGCTTTGGGGGTCTGCAAAAACAAACAAAAACAAAATGACAACAACAAAAAAAATATATATATATATTTTTTAACAAGCAACCCGTTTAAATACACCAGGAAATCACATCTACGTACTTTATTCAAAAATTTCTGGGGGAGGACCCCCAGACACCCCTCCCTCCTCCCGCCCACTGTTTGTGTTCTGGCATCGATCTGTTTACAGATGAATCCCTGTTATTTGATATAACTACTGCTGTTCTGATTCTGTTCAGTTTGATGTAAAGAGTTTTCTGTGATAGTCTGAAGAAGTGACGATACATTTGTTCTTTATGTGAATAGGTAAAGTTTTAAAATGTTTTTTGATACTCAAAACTGTAATTTTTGAAGTTGAAATTAAAAATTTTGTTAAGTGTGTCTTGAATGAAAAATACCCCATGTTTAAAAGTATAAAAATTATATTAACACTCTTAAAAAAACAGGTCAAGCAAGAGGGCCGGCAATGGAGGAGGGGGTGTACGAAAGACACCATCTTATCACAAGCAGAACTGGTTTGTTCCACTTTGGAGTAAGCTGTTGAGGGAATAATAAGTTTTTTTGTGTGTTTCCTTGACTGATGAAGCCTTCTGGACCGAAGGTGAAACGTTTCAGCACAAAAAAAAAAAGAAACTGTCCAGATGACCTGACTGAAAAATGTTGGATTGTATACCTGGATTATTGAGCATGGACTTTGTTGTTAGGTCTTAAAGTATTTGTTACACAAATATTTCCACTGCATTACAGAGACAAACTGAAGAAAATTATTTAATAAACATGAGGGTTATGAGGGGTCCCTGAACCCCAAAAGTTTGAGAACAGCTGACCTAAAAATACCAAACTTTAATAATAATAATAATAATAATAAAAAACGGTGTTCATATTACATGTATATCCTCAGCAGTAGGTGGTTTTGTTGCTTTTATTTACTCATCTAAAAAAACAACAATGTGTGTCTTGTCATGTGATCAGGGGCCAACAGTTTGCTCAACAAATCCAGCAGCAGAACCCGGAGCTCATCGAGCAGCTGAGGAACCACATCCGGAGCCGCTCTTTCAGCGGCAGTGCTGAGGAGCACTCATGATCTGTTTGGGTAATTAAAAAACATCTAAAATGAAAGTGGTTCATCTTGCACAAATCTGCTGGATTAACATTCCAAATTTTTTATCTCCAACACATTTTTTTTCTGAAGGCAGAGTCACCACATGGCACGATAACAATCTCTACACCTATTTCTTCAAATCTAATCTTTGGCAGAGCTGGAATGAAGAGACAAGGATGAGGTTGAAGGCACTTTATGGAGACTGAAAGACTAAGAAAACATCTCTCAAACACCTGATCATTAAAAACAAGCCAAGGCGTCCTTCAGCCCTCTGACAGACCACGAGTGAACGTCTCCTCCAGATGTTTTATTCTGTTCAAACCTTCTCCTCTCTTCATGCTCTGAGCTGAGAATCCTCACGTTTTAGTCACGATACAGACTCAGAAAGGAATGTACTTCAGCTGCAGTGCAGGAAACAGTTCAGCTTTTTTTGTTTGTACACAGATCATCAGGTATATTTGTTTATATTGATGATTAATATTATTTTTGTAGTCAGAATTCACTGTATTTGCTTTCGAAAAAAAAAACTGGTTTAGTCCTGGAACACACAGGACTCACATTTTCATTTTCAATGCATAATAGTTCAACTTTGAATGAAGACAATATGATGTTGGATGCCCCACCCCTTTAAATCATTTTATTGGTGATTATTCATATTGTTTGCATGCTCTTAAATCAGGTATTTGAGATCAGACGCTTTATGGAATCAAATATGTATACTAAGGCAGCATATTGTCTAAAACAATAATAAATGTTTTAAAAATAAAAATACTGTCATGATTTTTGTCTTTAAATAACATGACAGATAAGATCAGTCTGATTTAGAGCTGAAGTAACTTTTTTCTTTCTTTCTGTGGTTAAGGGATTAAATGCATATATACAAGACTGAATAAAAGTAGTATTCATAAAAAGTCTACCAACCATGCATGTCAGGTTTTTGTGGGAAAAAATGAAACTACGAAAAATCATTTCATAACTTTTTCAACCCTTATTGTCACAATCAACAATATTGACAAAGTTGGAATGTTGTGTAATTTTTTAAAAGCAGACTACATTCATTTACAAATCCATCCATCCATTATCTTTACCCGTTTCTTAATTTTTTGGGTTGTGGGGGTCACTGGTGCCCATATCCAGCAGTCACTGTGTGAGAGGTGGGGGACAAACTGGACAGGTCTTCAGTCCATCACAGGGACACAGAGACAAACAACCATTCACTCTCTCACTCACACCTAGGGACAATTTAGAGTTACCAATCAGTCTAACATGCATGTTTTTGGTCTGTGGGAGGAAACTGGAGTACCTGGAGAAAACCCACGCATGCTGAGAGGCAGCAGCTCTACGAACTGCGCCACCGTGCTGCCCTCCATGAATGTTCATGTACAGGTCAGTGTTCTGCACTGTAAACTAAAATATACATTGTGTTTTCCACTTTCTTCTATACTTTCTCCAGACTTTGCTCTTTTACACATTTATATTTCAAACCTCCAGCATGATAGAAATTTTATGCAATTACTTGATTTCTTGTAACTTTTGACATTTTTTAAATCGAGCTTTACATAAAATATTTTCTCAAATAATTCACTGCAGATTGAGAATTCTTCATATACAATAGTCCCTCGTTTATCGCGGGGGATCCATACCCCCCCACCCCCACTATAAGTGGAAAAACCGCCAAGTAGAATAGTAGAACAAATCCAACAATTTTCAGTCAGGTCATCTGGACAGTTTCTTTTTTTGCTGAAACGTTTCACCTTCCATCCAGAAGGCTTCATCAGTCAAGGAAACACACAACACAAAACTGATTCTTCCCCCAACAGCTTACTCCAAAGTGGAACAAACCAGTTATGTTGGTGCTAAGATGGTGTCTTTGGCACGCCCCCTCCTCTTGTGCCAGCCCTCTTCCTCGTCGACAGTCATGTCAAACTGGTTCAAAACCAAAAACAATCCATGCTCAATAATCCAGGTATACAAATTGTTGGATTGTATACCTGGATTATTGAGCATGGACTTTTTTTAGTAGTACAAGTTGTAGTTTATTCTAGTATTTATATAGATGTATATTAAGGCGTTTTAAACCTTCCCACACTCTTGCAATATTCTAAACAATGTTTCTAAACGCTCTAAAAAAGCACAGAACAAGGGTCTACAACCTGCGGCTCTGGAGCCACATGTGGCTCTTTGGTTCCTCTGCAGCGGCTCTTTCAAGCTTTGACCAAAGTGGACAAGCCACTGCCAGTTTTGAGTTTCATGTATTTGCAAATTTGTGAATACTAGTACTAATACAAGGAGTAAAACATAATTTAACTTTATGCTTTATTTCTTTCAAGTAGAATACTTAATTTTTACACAATAAAAACAAACAAAAAAAACACTAGACCTGCATTTCATTGTTTAAATTTCCATCCACTCATTATCTTTTACCCACTTCTTCCTGTTCGGGTCACTAGTGCCCAAATTCAGCTATCACTGTGCGACAGGGCTTAATTTGAGATGGATCCTTACGGAACAGGATCTGGGAACTCTCTTATTTTGAAAGGGTGCGTTCTGGTAACTGCTTGGATCCGGTAACTCTCAGGCTTACCAATAATAACATTATGAACAAATTTGACTGCCTTGAATGAATAAAACTTATATTGGCTTTGTAAACTGAAATTTGTGCCACCATTGTTAAAATTATCTTTTTAATTGGTACAAACTATAAAAATAAATCTTTCTTTACAATCATCCTGTTTTTTCTTTTGTCTTGAAATGTAAAAATATCAATGGATGCTTAAAATCATTAAATATTTTTAGTTTTATGTCACTCCTACTGGCCTGAAAAGTGGTCAACGAGCCACCAGTAGATGATCATAGCTGGGGTAAGTTTTGTGGCTCTGGACATTTTAATTTAGTGAGCGAAGGGGCAGAAATGGCTCTTTGGATCGTAAAGGTTGCAGACCCTTGGCACAGAATGTCATGATTTCAGCTCTGCCTCCGGCCAGCGCTCTCGGCCACAGAGATCGTGACACACTGCAGGAGGAAACTTCTGCAGCTAAGGGCTGGCAGGTGCAGCAGGTGCTAAATTATTTAAAATAACTTATTTTAAATAAAAATGAATGCTGATCGTGTGGCTCATCCAGCAATCAGCCAATTGTGTGTCATGCCCAATTTTATTTGGAAAAACCACGGTTGAGCAAACCGCCAAGTAGCGAGGGACTACTGTACTTCAAAACCTTGTTTTTAATTATTTTGTAATTTCTGGATTCTGAATTGCCAATTTGCAATTTTTAGTTTTACCATGTTTAACTATTTTTAGCTTGTTTTACCATTTTTAGCTTTAGCAATTCTTTAGCTCATTTTAGGATTTATTTAACTAAGTTATCTTTTCCGGGGTCTTTCTGGGTGGAGTTTGCATGTTCTCTCCGTGCATGCGTGGGTTTTCTCCGGGTACTCCAGTTTCCTCCCACGGTCCAAAAACATGCATGTTAGTCTGATTGGTAACTCTAAATTGTCCCTAGGTGTGAATGAGAGAGTGAATGGTTGTTTGTCTCGTTTGTCTCTATGTGTCCCTGTGATGGACTTGCGACCCGTCCAGGGTGTACCCCGCCCCTCGCACAGTGATTGCTGGACATGGGCACCGGCGACCCCCGTGACCCAAAATGGAAGAAGTGGGTAAAAGATAATGGATGGATGAATATTTCCCTAAATTTAGCTATTCATGGGCGGCTGTGGCTGATTGGTTAGAGCAGTCATCCTCCAATGCGAGAGTTGGGGGTTCGAATCCACCAGCAGTCGCATGCTGAAGTGTCCCTGGGCAAGACACTGAACCCCTCATAGCCTCTGATGTGTGTCCCATCAGTGTATGAATGTGATCTAAAGCTCTGATTAGTCTCTTTAGAATGATTTGTTCAATTAGCTTTGTATAGATCTAGTATAGAGCTGTATGAATGGGTAAATGAGGCACAGATTGTTGTAAAGTGCTTTGAGTATCTTGAAATAAGATAGAAAGGTGCTGTATAAGTACAGTCCATTTACCATTTCATGATTTAAGCTTCTAGTTACTACTCAGCTGCTTTGAGCGTCTGTGCATATTATATTGAGACAAAACAAAATAGTGACATTAATTCAGTAAAATGATAGAAAATTTGCAGGGCATTCTGTATTCTTGAGGTTCACACACCAAAACACAGCATGTTAGTAAAAATAAGTCAAAAATCAAACTTTACAGAGTATTTATTCACACATTTACATGATTATTTTCAACAAATCTGATTTGTATTATTCACAATTTATTTTAAAATTCTGTATCATCGCCTCAGAAGTTGCAAAAAAAAAAGAAAAAAAAAGTGAAATATCAAGTGCAAAATTCCAAAGTTGGTCCAATCATTTCTGAAATGCAACAACAAAAAGTTATTTAAACTTCTAGCACTCATTACTCATAAACGGGCAGACCACACACACTTGTGCGATGTCGTCATATTCGTAGGTCCTCTTCAGAAATGTGTCTGTGAGTCTCAGTCCAGAAATACTCTGAAGCAAGAGAAGAAGAATGTAAGCACAAGTGAGGAAAAATAGAAAATTGTGATTACCGTAATTTCTGGACTATAAGTCGCAACTTTTTTCACATATTTGAACACCGCAGTTTATACAATGCTGCAGCTAATTTATGGATTTTGTTTTTTTTGTTTTTGACAAGCTAACAAGCTTCATCCCGCCAAAACATTTCTCACAGACTCATGTTCGTGCTGCTGTTCGGCGTATTGTTTTTATGCTGTTAGTGCTTAGTGTATTTCTAGCTGATGTTTTTCTGAGTTCATATCTTAGATCTTATTACTGTTTTTCTTTTATATTTTAATACTTTTGTTGGATGTAACTGGGACCCTGTGTACATAATTTCATTCCACCACATGTACCACATGTTGGATGACAAATAAAGAAACTTTGACTTTGGCATTTAGCCTCGTCACACCCGGGCACTCACAGATACCCAATACATGTCTCTCTTGGGGGGATGGGTCCACGTGACTCAATGAGACTACCTGTATAAATAAAGTAAAAAAAAAATAATAATCTGACCAATGGAATTATCTACCAGGTCACACTGGACCAATGAAACAGGGAGGGGAATCCCAACCCCCCCACTCCCTGCGGGCACAACAAAGTATTTGCAGCTACTCAAAATAAGTGTGAATCATGCATTAATGTGGCACTCGGAGCTCGGTGGGAGGCTTGGATAACTGGCAACAAGAAATCATTTACCAAAACTGGACGCATGCAAAAAGCAACTTTTGCTCCAGTCTGCCAGTGGATCCTGAGAGGAGCAGTGCCAAAAAATCCTCCACCAACGGGTTTTGAAAAGCTGCTGCGCGATGAAGAGGACAACACAAGCTCAAGGACATGGAGCGCAGGAGGAAGATGAAGATAGCAATCCATGACTTCCTGGTAGGCTACTGTATTTTAATTTATGTTTTAACCAGCCGTGTTACAGGCACTGTTCAGAAAAATAAAATAAAATTATTTGATTAAAAGTTAAAAAAATATTTCTGTGTAAATATCTCCTGTTCCAACGTCGATACCCGCAGCTTAGAAAACAAGTGTGGTCTATATATGTACAGTTTAGTTTTTTTTAGTGGGCGTGGCTTATATTAAAGTGCACTCAATAGTCCATAAATTACGGTACGCAAGTTTGGAGCTTACCTGCAGACCCTGGACTGAGGAGAAGACTGTGAGGGGCAGCAAGAGGGAGGAACCAGGAGTAAGTTTCCCCAGCTGTCGTCCTGATATCCCCAACCAGTGGACTGAGCTCGTGTTGCACATCTCCAGAAGCAGGTCCATGGTTCTTTCACTACAACATGAAATTTACAGAGAAGCTGGTGGTTAGAGTGTCCAGTCAGGTTACTCATGTGGGAGGTACAGTATCTTTAGGGGGATTTCCACCTGCAGTTGGTAATTTTACAGATGATGTCGAACGGTTCTTCAAGGTTTACAGTGTCAGGGATTATCTCCAAAGACAGCCGAATGTCTCCATATCCTGGAGCCTAAAGAACACAAAAACATTTTGAATTGAAAGTCTAGCTTTCCTTAAAGTAGCGCACATCACCTGCCGCCTTTCATGTCAGGTGTTACCTCCGACTGTTTAACACTGAAAAGAGATTGAGCGTTAAAGTGATTTTGATCAACCCCTGAAAATAATGTACAGTAATGCACAAACTCATGCGATGTCGTGCAACAGCAAGAGGTGACTCTCAGCTACTAAAACATCAAAGTCTAGCTCAATATGCTTAAAACTGACTTGTATTCTTTTAATGCTAGCTGCCATCTTTAATTAAATTGACTGCAAAGGAAAATCAGTTGTTAATGTACATTTAATACACATCGCACTGTCCTATAAGTTGCATCAGTCCATATTTGTCTAATAAAGTGGAAAAATCCATAAATATGTCGCATCTATTATGTGTCACCGCTGATGCGTCGCGTTTGTTACATGTCACCACTGACAATCTGGAATTGTGGGCCAGTGTTGTGCCAAAAATCAATTGGCTGCCAAATGGTGGACGCAGGAGCGTGCACGGGAGGACTTCAACAAGATTAACACTTAAAAACAATTATTTGTTTGCTCAAAATTATAGTAAAGGTGTGTCTCAGAGCTGGACAAAGGTGGCAGGCTATGGCAGGCAGACTGTGTCATTAATAGCCACTTTTACCTATTACATGACACAGCAGCATGCCAAACTGCTCGAGTGCCATCTAGCAGCTGAAAATGGTTGTGTTCAATATTTTCAGTCGGAATGAATGGAAACGGTCATATCTCAGTCAAAAATTAGTTTATGAATATGAGAAAAAAATCCATACATGCGTCACTTCAGCGTATAAGTCGCAAGGCATGAAAGAAAACGGCGACTTATCGGGCGAAAAATACGGTAAACACACACGCACGCACACACGCACACACACACACACACACAGAGGCACAAATTGTATCCTTTGCCTCTAGTGCTTCGGCAGCAGTCGATAAAGATAAATAAATAAACAGCAGAAAAGTGTCAATGGTACCATTCTCTGCAGCTGACTGGTCTGCAGCCTCCCTCTCTCCCCGAGGTTGGTCTTCCAAACAATGTCGAGCTTCCCGATTACCGTCACTCCTTTAATGACACCGGCCTTCTCTGCATACTCCGGCTTTGGTTTCAGGCAATACAAATACTGCCGTGTGTCCATAGGCTGCAGGTAGGACATTTTACCAAACGTAGACTCTCTGCCAAGTGACAAGTTCCAAATTAGCATCAAGTTTAAATACAGTTTTTGTTTTTTTAATTCAACACGTGGAAAAATGCCTTTACCTCTGATTCTCACAAGTGACACTGTTGAGTTCTGTAACATTGTACATCATGGAAGGTTCTAGAGACACTTTCTCCATGAACATGGGTGAGGTGGTGATGTTCTGGATCTGAGCTTCCAGAAACACTTCATCTGTCTAACACAGAGGCGATGCGTTACATAAACTCTTCTCATTTACCATTATAAGCAAATACACAATTCTGACAGGTGAACTGAGCATCGTCCTTAGCTACTGAAGTTTGTGCAAAATGTTACTGCATCAAAGGAGAAGTTCACATTTTGCAAACTGTTCCTAAAGCTGTGTATTTTGTGGTTACTGTAATTTTCCACCTGCTTTCACTGGTTGTGATGGTCAGAGAATACTTCCCTGTAGAGCAGGGAGCACAGTCCACACGTAGAGAAAAACTGTTTTACTGGACCTGATGGAGCTTCAGCAGAGTAAGGACAAACTATTTTTTTTTTCTAGAAATTTAGTCTGAAAGACAAACTAAAAAGAGGTGAAAATGTCTACTAAAATGTAAACAATAACAACAAAATACAAGTTCTTTTTCTCTCTCTCTCAAACTGATCTTAACTTCATGCCTGTTTTGCAGATGTGCACCGTTTTGCTTGCTCCCACTTCTTCTGTCAGATTTTTGATATCTATAAGATTGTTCTAAAGTTATTTGCCTCTCTCCATAAGATTATATCAGTGTTCAAACTGTAAGAAGGTAAAAACAAATGTGAACCAATCCTTTGAGCTGTTCATCAGGTGATGTGAGGGCCTTTCAGTGAATATTTATCAAATATTATTTACCATTACATGAATTAAACTCTACCAGGTCGGCTCAGTGTACCTTTGGCCACATGTTAGTATAAGTGTGCTGCCAAATGAAGGAGAAGCTGCACATTAACAATGAGCTCAATAATTTAATTTATTAACTAGGTTCTTTAAAATGTTCTCCAAAACGTCACATAACTGTTTTTGTATTTCCAATTAAATACCTAATTCAGAGTCTGAGCACCTGGTTCTCAACTGGAAAATGGTGGACGGCTCCCTCTGTGTTGGGGGTGAGGCAGACTTTAAGTATTTGGGCATTTTTTTTCCGCACATCTGATGGTATGACGGAGCGAGGGATGGATTGATGGGTCTTTGTCCACAGTAATGAGTGTTGCTCTGATTACTTGTGAAGAATAAAACACAGCTGAAAGGTGAAACTCCCAGTTTACTAGACCACATTTGTCATGAGGTATGGATTATGATCAAAATAATGACATTCTGGATGAAGCCACTGAAATAAGCTTCCTTCTTAGGGAGGCTAGACTCTGAGGAAGGTGAGGAGCTCTGTCCCCTCTGGTGGTTTTCCAGGCATATCCCACTGGGAGGAGACCCTGGGGCTGACCCAGAACAAGCTGGAGGGATCTTTTATCCTATCTGACCCAGACCTATCTGGAGAGTGCTGCTGGGGAGAGGGATGTCTGGTTTTCCCTCCTGGATCTATTGTCCCCATGATGTGACCACAGATAAAGAGAAGAAAATAGATAAAAGGATACTTAAATCAGTTATTTTTTTTTAATTTTCATTATTTATCCAGAAGACGTTGCAACTGATGTGGGGTTTTTGGTATACAAAAATGTTTAAATGAGGTCTCTTGTGACCATGAGAATCTATCTGGAGTGCTAAATTGGTCATTGCACATCTCGTGGTGTCTCTGAGCAGGACACCTTATCCCCAGTTGCTCCCCAGGCGCTTTCCATAGCTGCCCACTGCTCCACCTGGTGGTGGATGGGTTAAATGCAGAGAGCCAATTTCGCCATTGTATGGGAACATACAATGATGACAACACATAACACATTATTATTATTATTATTCTCCTCGACACATAATATCTGGTACTACATAAATATCTGGTACTCACGGTTAGTTTTCTTGTGCACACAAGAAACTATCTTGTGCACAACAGATAATTCTTTTGTTAGGTGAGCCACATGTTCTTAACCTCATGTTCTCCAACAATGGCTTCAGAAGAATATATATCCATCTTTCTGAAAACTCTAAATATTAATTAAGCCTTCCAAAAATTCAAAGAAAATTGTTGGTTATATAGACACTGACAAGAATGTTCTAATCTAACTTAAGATCAAAATATAGCTCACATAGATGTCTTATGTGACTTTCTGAACAGAATACCTAAATTGCACTGGATATTCTCTTGTGCAGAACAACATCTTGTATGAATCACACACTTTTCTGGTCTGCACAAAATATTATACATGAGTACCAGAAGCAACTGGGATGAGATCAGCTCCTCCAAATCTGAGGCCATGGTCAGTCAGAAAAGGATGGATCGCCTCCTCTGGGTAGGGGGTGAGGTTCTGGCTCAAGTGGAGGAGTTCAAGTATCTCTGGGTTTTGTTCATGAGTGAGGGAAGAATGGATTGTTAGAATGACAGACAGAGCCGTGCAGCTTTCGCAGTATTGTGGACTCTGTGCCGGTCTGTTGTGGTGAAGAGGGAACTGAGCTGCAAGGGGAAGCTCCGTGTTGTTTACCTGTCCGTCAATGTTCCTACCATCATCTATGGTCACAAACCTTGGGGTAGTGAGCAAAGAACAAGATCACGGATACAGGTGGTCTAAATGAATTTTCTTCACAGGATGGCTGGACTTTCCTTTACAGACAGGACGAGGTTCAGTTATCCAGAAGAAACTCAAGAGTAGAATTGTTCCTCCTCCACATCGAGAGGAGCCAGCTGAGGTGGTTCAGGCATCTGTTAAGAATGCCACCTGGACGCTTTCCTAGAGAGGTTTTCCAGGCATGTCCAACTGGGAGAGGAGCCAGGGAAGACCCAGGACACACTGGAGAGACTTTAGCTGCTTTGCCATAGATAAGTACAATTTGCGTCGGCTCTCGGTTCTCTGATCGGTTTTTCTCAGGTGTAGATGAATTGCCACTGTGACTTGTTTCCCCGCTCTGTGGATGGGATCATTATTGAAAAGTGGGCGGGCATCATCACTGTAATCTGACTTTAAATTGTTTAGCTTGTCTCAGCAGTGCTTAAAGGTCCGGGTGTAGCCATGCTGCACCGTCATCTCCAATATCTTGCAGTAAATTTGATCATTTCTTGTAGCGCCTTCCAGCTCGCTTTGAACAAAATAGTTCCATAAACTGGTCTGAGTGGGGGTGGGTACCAGCATTGGGCAGGCCCTTAACTGGTGCAGTCTGGTGCAGAACCGATGAGGGTAGAGACAGTGGCAAAGTGCCATTTGCCTCGGTCTGCCTGAGAACGACTAACTCCTCCCAGAAGAGCTGGAAGAAAGAAACGTCTGAGCATCCCTGCTCAAGCTGCTGCCCCCACGACCCGACTCGGGAACAAGCGAACGATGGATGATTTGCCTTGACATGATTGTTGTTTTACTGTTTAAGTAAGCTTTTAGTTGACGCATTAGGAGAACAACTCTGCCAATTATTTTTTTTTTACTGAGATCATCTGTGCAACCTCTGCCTCACCAAGAAATTCAAACAGGAAAAAGCAGAGATTAGTTATTGTCTGAAACTTATGACACGTGAACCCAATTAGAATGTCTGTGTAATCAAAGTTTAGCATTTCTGCTCCATGCAAAGCCAAACGTATTAGAAATAATAAATATTTCAGCCACATTAGACCGAGTATGAGTCAAATGACTAGAACAAGACGGTATTTTATTTTCTTAATCATTATTAATAAGACTTGGTTTGTTCCATCAAACATTCAACTTCAAATTACAAAAACTAAAAATGAGATTAAAGTAAAATCATCCTTAGTGGCATTCGAACAATATTATTTGAATTTTTTAGATTAAGATTTAACATAATCAATATGGTCCCACCCACCACAATTTGACAACACAGACGTCAGGTGCAACCCCACCCTGTATGTGATTTTGCAAGAAAGCATGAAAACAAAGAAAGGGCAAATCAATGGATGTTCAATTTGTTCATCTTTAAAGAGGTTGAAAACATTCAGACGTATCCTTCCATTATTTAATTCTGCACCTTTCTTTGAGTTCAGAAGCCAGCGTGGTGTAGCAGAAACAGGTGAAGCAGCAGCTAACAATCAGCCACGAGAACAGAAAAAGGAATTACCACAGAACTCAGGTCACTCTAATGGAGAAAATAAAATACAAGACTCAATGAACAAATGAAGTTACATGCAAAAGTTGATGACAATGAATGTTTGCAGTCAAATACAAATAAGCTACTACATAAAAATAAGAAATAAAAGGTAAAAAGCTACTGATAATTGCCTCTACTTAAAAAAAAATCTTGTTTTCCAGCTTTTACATTTTCCAAACAACAGAAACAGACAAATTTGTAACTGGAGAAACAAGAGATTTTAGATGAGGTCTAATCTAATGGAAATGTTCCCATACATGACATGAAACATAAACTGAAGCACGTTAGGTTTACTCTTAAAATAATAATATTTGTGTGTTTTTACCTCTGCATTGTAGAACTTTGTCTTCACATCCAGTGGCTTTAAAACCTGATTTAAAATACATTGAAAACTAAACGCTGGAGTTTTATCACACTGTTTTTCCACTCAGCTGAATTAAAAACACTTCTACTAAGAAAAATAATAATTATTTAAAAAATCAAACTAAAAATTACACTTCAGTTCTCTCCAGATGACTGTAAGAAACCAAATCACACAAGCATGGGTACCGTATATTCTGCCCTAAACGTGGCTCCGCCCTATAAGTCGCATCAGTCCAAATATGTCTAATAAAGTGGAAAAAACAAAAATACATTGCTTCGCCAAATACGTTGCATCTATTATGTGTCACCGCAGACGCATTTGTTACGTGTCACCGCTGACCACCTGGAAATGTGGGCCGGTGTTGTGCCAAAAATTGATTGGCTGCCAAATGGCGGTCGCGGGAGCGTGCACAGGAGGACTTTAACAAGAATTTAACAAGATTAACACTTAAAACAATTATTTGTTTGCTCGACATTATAGCAAATGTGTGTCTCAGTTTAACTTTTACTTAATAAATGCACTTTGACGGTCAAATCAGCTGCATTTCAAAAGTATTATCTGCCTCGGTGCTACGGGAGTGCGCAGATGGGGAGGACATCAGAAAGAGGAACGCTGTGCATTCCTTCGAAATTTAAAAAGATAAGCACCTCAAACAATTATTTGTTTGCTCGACATTACAGTAATGGTGTGTCTCAGTTGAACTTTTCCTTAATAAATGCACTTCAACCGTCAAATCAGCTTCATTTTGCCGGGACAGCGCAGCGAAATGAAGCTGATTTGACGGTTGCTCAAGGCGAGCTGGACGAAGGTGGAAGGCTATGGCAAGATGATTGTGTCATTAATAGCCACTTTTACCTATTACATGACACAACGGCATGCCATACTACGCGGCTGAAAATGGGAGTGTTCAATATTTTCAGTCAGAATGAATGAAAACGATCATATCTCAGCCAAAAATTGGTTCATAAATATGAGAAAAAAATCCATAAATACATCGCTTCGGCGTATAAGTCTTAGGGCATGCAAATTATGCAAAAAAACGCAACTTATAGGGCAAAAAAACACGGTAATTGTATTTGCACTGTTGTAGCTTGGAGGCATTTCTTCAGACCTCTCAAAGAATCTCCAAGTCCCCACTCAACTATTCTAATGAGAACAATCAATATCTCACCTGGAATTTGAAGAACTTGCGAAAATAGAGCTTCTCCCCGTACTGAGAGGTGTAACTGACTGCACAAACTAAGCTGGAAGTTGGAAGAGAAGAAGCCAAGTTTTAAAACAAGAAAAAAAGAGGTTGTCATGTTTGTGCTGAACGTATAGAAATATAAGAGGAGTTTGGTTTCACACTTGTGTGAGAATAAAAAGACAAATCCATGTGGAAACTAAAGGCTTTCATTCCTTGAAGTCATTTATATACTGTAGTCCCTCATTTATCACTAGGGTTTCCATTCTCAGCCCTCCGTGATAAGTGAAAAACCGTGAAGTAGGAATAGTAGTACAAGTAGTAGTTTATTTTAGTATTTTACATGTATATATATATATATATATATATATATATATATAGAGAGAGAGAGAGAGAGAGAGAGAGATAGAGAGAGAGAGTGGGAGAAAGAGAGAGTGGGAGGGAGAGAGATAGGGGGAGAGGGGGGCTGAAGAGAGAGAGAGGGGGGGGGCAGCAATGGAGGAGGGGGCGTACCAAAGAAACCATCTTATCACAAGGAGAACTGGTTTGTTCCACTTTGGAGTGAGATGTTGGGGGGAAGAATTAGTTTTGTTGTGTTTCCTTGACTGATGAAGCCTTCCAGACCGAAGGCGAAACGTTTCAGCACAAAAAAAAAAAAGAAACTGTTCAGATGACCTGACTGAAAAATGTTGGATTGTATACATGGATTATTGAGCATGGACTTTGTTATATACATCAATGTTTCCCCTACCATGATACAAGCGGGGTGCCCCACCCCGTCAACAGAATTGAGCACCCCGCATACCAAACCAAACTTGCCCCCCCACCTGCCCTCCCGGCAATGACATAGCACTAAGCTAGCAGCGAGAAATACAGGTTCTCTAGCTAATAAGCTAAAGGCAGCACTCACGTTGCCTCTTCCCTCATGCTAAACACCCCCTGCCCGCACTCAGACAGCAGTTTTGTACAAGCTGCGCTCAGACAAGTGTCCGTCCCCCCATCAACAAAAATCGTGGATGAGATGAGCACCCTGCTATGGCAAGTTAACTAGAGGAAACACTGTACATATATATATATATATATATATATATATATATATATATATATATGTATATATATATATATGTATATATATATGTATATATATGTATATATATGTATGTATATATATATATGTATGTATATATATAACTTTTTAAATGATGCTGGTATTTTAGAAAAGTATTAATCTGGTTTTAGGACGAACCACAGTACAGAGACAGCCCTATTAAAAATTGTGAATGATTTAAGGTGTAATCTGGATTCACACAAGCTCTCAGTTCTTGTTCTATTGGATCTGACTGCAGCCTTTGATACAGTAGATCATCAAATTCTTCTAAATAGATTAAAACACCTGGTCGGTCTTTCTGGTACTGTTCTTCTGTGGTTCAACTCCTATCTCACAGATAGAACCTTTATGGTAAGTATGGATACATGCACCTCGCAGATCCATGAAGCCAACTATGGCGTCCCCCAAGGCTCTATTTTAGGCCCCCTACTTTTTAATTTGTACATGTTGCCGCTTGGTGGAGTCATCAGGAGCCATGGGATAAGTTTCCACAGTTATGCTGATGACACACAGCTATACATCTCATTATCTCATGATGACCCCCGGCCAATCACTGCACTTTTTAATTGCATTTCAGACATAAAGTCCTGGATGGCACAGAACTTTCTCCAGCTAAACCAGGACAAAACAGAAGTTTTAATCATTGGACCGGAGGTTCAAAAAGAAAATACAATTCAGAAATTACAATCTCTGTCTTTAAAACCTTCCAAAAAAGTAATAAGCCTGGGCATTCTTTTTGACTCTGAGCTTACTTTTATTCCACATATCAAACATATAGTCAAAACAGGATTTTATCATCTAAAAAATATAGCCAGAGTCCGCCCTCTTCTCTCTTTTACTAATACTGAGACTTTGATGCACGCTTTTATATCTAGCCGTTTAGACTACTGTAATGCACTGCTTTCTGGTCTCCCTAAGAAAAATTTATCCAGCCTTCAGCTTTTACAAAACTCTGCTGCTCGTGTGTTAACCAAGACCAGAAGGCAAGCTCTTATTACACCTGTTTTAAAATCATTGCATTGGCTCCCTGTGCGTCTCAGTGTTGATTTTAAGATTCTTTTAATGATTTTTAAATGTCTCAATGGTCTCGCACCATCTTATCTTGCAGAGCTGCTATTACCCTATGAACCCCCGCGGACACTAAGGTCCTCTGGCACTGGACTACTAAAAGTTCCAATAGTCAGAACTCACACTTACGGTGAGGCCTCTTTCCAGTACTATGGCCCCCGTCTGTGGAATAGTCTGCCGGAGAACCTGAGGGCCGCAGAAAATGTTGTTTTTAAGAGCAGGCTCAAGACCCATCTTTTTAACTGTATTTCCTGAACTGGTTCATTTCTGTTCAGTCTATACATTTTCCATACAATTTTATTTTGTGTGTGCTGTTTGCATTTATTTTGTGGGTTTATTGTTTATAATTCTGTACAGCACTTTGAGCTGCTTTTAGTATGAAGGGTGCTTTATAAATAAAATTGATTGATTGATTGATA